GGTGAACAATGAAGTAGACCAGTTGGGAGCAAAGAGCACCTCAAGCAAATCCTGATTTTAGCTGCCTCTCAGACAGCCTGAGAAGGGCAGTGTCAAGCCTTCTGTCCAGAGTGTGGCCTGCCTTTAGCCTCAGAAAAGGACATGATATTCACGACTCATCTGGCATGTGGTAGGCAGCAGAAGGGCATTTACACATGTTATGTACTTTACTTCCAGAAATGACCTTTCCAGGTGGGGATCCCTGTCTGTGTTTTACAGGTGCTGACGCTGAAGCTCAGAGAAATGAGAACATTTGACCTTTGTTAACATTTGTGAATGACAGAGTCAGGATTAGAGGCTGGGTCTCTTTGATGTCAAAACCAGGGACTCTGCTTTTACTGGCAGCAGAGGTTGATTCCAGTAGCTTTATGGGTAAATGGAAAACAGTGATGAGAGTGGTGGGAGCATGTTAGTTCCACAAGGGTCAAGATGGTATCTCTCCCCCTCAGTCCTGTGTCCCCAGCAGCAAGCCTGCTGGTGACACATAGTAGTCAATGGACTACTCATTGAGTGTTGAATGAATGAAAATAAGCAAGTATACTCAGAGGTGAGAGGAAAGAAGTGCAGGGACTCAAATTCCTTTTTATTTTCAGGTATCTTGGTGGGTCAGGGGTGGGGAACCTTTTGGATATTTATAAGATCATAATACAAAATTATCAACTTAAACATTAGTCTGCTATAGAGTTATTGAAGTTTGAGTCCCAGCTGAGGTTGCCTTGGTGGGACCAGACCAATGATGTTATAGGCTATGGCCTATGGGCTGAACATGCCACAACCATTGCAGGGAAGGGTAACCTAGGGGGATTTACCATATCTGGAGGGGTTCCTTTCCAACCTGGGAGAAATAACATTGGAATTGGCTTTGCAACTGTGAGGTGTGGTGGAGCAGAGTGGACTCTAGGAGACGGGAACTCGTGGTGCAGGTTGGAGTGGGGGACAGAGGCTCTCAGGGTCCTCGCAGAATGGTAGCCTCACACCTGGCTGTCCTCTGCTTTCCAAACTTCATAAATGTGGCCAGAAAGACTCAGCTCCTCAGGAATTCTGTCAAGGATAAGGTTCCCACCTGTCATTACCTTCCCTGGGAGGAGGACATGCAGGGAGGCTCATCCAAAGCGTGTGGGTGCCCTCCACATGTCAGTTCCATCCTCCAAGGCAGAAAGGCACAAACTTGGATCACATTTGACTCTGTGGAGAATATTCCAAATGAACAACCGCTGATGGGAAGTTCATTTAGATATCTGTAACTAAGAAGAACTTGGTTTTCTCTGAGGAACTACATTGAGGCAACTTAAATTACAATGAAATGAGATGTTGTCTCTGGATTCTTTAATCATGAGAACTGCATAGCTACATGTCTTTCTTTTTTATCTGTGTCTTCCAGGAAATTCGACTAGAGCTTTTTCTTTATAGAGATGACATGCTGGTAAACTCCTTTACTTTAGCCCTAATTTTATATTCTCTTGCTTATTTCATGTTAATTTACATTGCCTCAAAATTTTGCAGAAATAAGCCAAATGGAAAATGAATTGCAAAATAATAAATGGAAATACCTCCTTTCCTAATTCATCTGGGTATTCTTCAAATGCAAGCAGCAGTCATGGACCCTCCTGGGCACAGTGGCCACCAGGTGGCACCAAAGCTTTCCCAGCTTCAGTGTGGCAATTGGGTCTGGAAGGGTTTCAGTTTAGCCAGCCATTTCTTGGATTGTACCATACCGAGTGGCTCCAAACCAAAGTGCACTGGTCTTCCTTCTAGAGTCTGGTAAAGTTGATATAAGGGGGTTGGGAGGGCATGCTCAAGACTCTGAACTTACCAAGACCACTCCACCTTGCCCGGGGCGGGTCAGGACTGAGATGCAGCTGCATGTCCCTACACCACCTGTGGCCTCTGAGTTTCTTTTGTCACAAATGGAGAGTCTGGGAAGGGTGTTACAGGGACAGGGAAAGAGCCTTTCTTCCTTCCACCAAATGCTCTCGTGTGACTCCTGGCTAAAATGCATTGTTTCTGATAATGACATGTCACTGGCCAGCAGTTATCAACACCTACAAAATAGATTGGGGATGAAGCGACCCAAGTGTGCTGCCTCATCACTCATGTGGAACTCTGTGATTGATTTGGACAAATTGAATCATTTGAAGTCATTTTGTAAGCATACCGCTCAACCCCCAGGTTAGCAAACAAGCTTCAGGAGAGTTGGGAGAATACTTATACATAATCATAAATGAAATTCTTAACCACTCACGAAGACATTTGTTATTATTTTTAATGAAATTGTGTTTACTTGGAAGGGGAAGAGGTAGATCTCTCATTCAATGGTTCATTCCCCAAATGGCTGCATCACCCAGGGCTGTCCTTGGCCAAAGCCAGGAGCCCAGAACTCAGTCCAGGTTTCTCACTTGTATGGCAAGAACCCAGGGACTTGAGACATCACTGGCTGCCTGCCAGGGTGTGCACTGGCAGGAAACTGGAGTTGGGACTGGAGCCAGGACTCAAACTCAAGCACTCCAATACGGGCTGCAGGTATTTTAAATGTTGTCTTAATAACCACACCAGTTGCTAACCTCTATCCGTTCTAATAATTGTGACAATAGGTGTTTTCCTTGCATATCAACTGTATTTGTGTGGGCCTATGCAACATGAGACCTTGGGTCCTTGATTAGGACTGGTCCTTGTCATGGCTGTTGAGGCTTGAGGAAGGGACAAGCTTCCTATGATTGGTTTTATTTGCTTTTGTTGGACTTCTGAGTCTATGCAAGTGCTTGCTAGCTGAAAGCCTGCAGAATTTATTCATCTGCTGAAAGCAAGGTGCAAGAGGATGCCTTCATTTCTCCCATACTACTTGGGGCTGAAGCAGTAAGACTCATACCTGCAGAAGTAAGCACTTGGTGTCACCTGTGATGAGTTTAACACATCCTGCTGTGACTGTCCCCTGCTCTCTGGCCCTGGAATCAGTCAGCACCACAATCTAGTTTGTTCTACCACCTGCCAGTCCTCCCACTGTCATAGAAGGCTCAACCTCTGCCTTCAAGGGTCCCTCTGATCCTTATGTTAATTAGGTTACTCATGCCAGTTCCTGTAGGGCTTGCCAACTCAGTTGGGCTGGATTGAGAGAAAGGTAAGACCCTCACGGCAGACTCTGGCTTATGCTTAGTACAGCCAGCATAGGGCCATAAGCAGTAATATAGGGGAACTTACTTGGAAAAGAAGCAAATAAGGATGTGAAATTGATCATGGCACTTATTGGCATGGCTCTCTGAGCCCAAGGAGACAAGAGATTGTGTCCTTTTAAGTGACAAGAGCTAGAGTTAAAAACAAGACTGACTACCTCACAGAGCCTACTTTAGGAGAAAAACAATAAACATGGCAACCTCAGTTAATTAAATGGAAAAATTTATTGAGCACCTATCATATGCCAGCATCTGTCACAAGGACGATATCCAAAAAAGGTCAGAATTCACCAGTGGGGGATGGTCAAGAGCCCTACAGGAAGAAGAAATGCTGGTGCTGTAGCCAGAAGGAAAGCAAAGACCTCGTGGAACCTGTTCCTACAGTTCCTGCTCACAGGGTGGTGACTGCCATTGGCCCACCATGGGCCCTGTAGCTCCTACATGTGGTCTTCCCCGCAGCTCGGGATGGGCGCATTTGCATTTCCAGCTTTTGATCGGCATCTGACATTCTTGGGGTCACTCTGCTTGGTAGAGCTAAGGTGAGGGTGGGCTGAGGAGTGTGCAAGAAGAGGCACAGGTTAAGGATGAAGACGGGGCCATTGATTGCCAGCTTGTCTTCTTGCTTTGGCCTTGTTGACATCTGCAAGTGCTGAGTTTGTCCCCCCTGTTCTCTGGAGGTTGTGTCATTGCCTCTGAGTTACCTTTATCCTTTTCCTTGATGCTACTTTTCCTCACCAGGTATTGACACTGAGTCACACTTGCAGGCAGCAGGGTCCTGCTGGTTCTTCAGAAGTCCCGGACTGTTCCCTGGCTTGACTGAGCAGTCCGTTTTCTTGGTATCACATCCCAAGGTCACTGCAAGGTGCACACTTAAGTCTGTGGTTAACTGTGGTGGGAGTCTCCAATCAACCTTGGATGATCTAGATTAAGAGCTGTTAACTTTAACCCTTGGAGCATATCTGGCCCACCTACTGTGCTTATAAGTCTTACTGGGCCTCTGCCATGCTTGTTCATTTATATTCTGTCTATAGTTACTTTCATACCAGAAAAGGCAGTAGTTAACCATATGACTGAGAAAGCCTAACCTATATAGTATGTAGCCCTTTTAAGAAAGTCTGGTTAGTTTTGGTCCAAAATTAGAAGAGACTATGTTTTTATTTATTTACATTGGAGCAGAATATTACAGTTCCAAGGCAAGCACAGGTGGTTGGAGGCAGAATCTAAGGCTCTCATAGCAAGGGCACTGAAGACCTGAGTCTGAGGATGGTAATGTCCTGTGGATACCTGTGCTGCAAAGGGTTCTGAGGCCCTCTGGGCTGGTGTGTTTCGAGAGTAATGCAAATGATGCCATGAGTCATTGAAGCAAAACGCACCACACTGGGGCAGGAACAAGGCAAATCCGTGTTCTCTTTCCCCAGAGATAAATATTTATGCATCTGGGGAACAACTTGGCATTGCTGAGGCTGGAGTTGTAAACATACCCTTACTGGGGTGAGATTTAAGGACTGTTCATGATGTGGGAGCCAAGGTTGGGCTCCAGCTGTCCCCAAGGCATGTTTGGAAGGCTGCTGGTGCATGAGTATTGGGTCAGGACCGTGTCACCAGTAGGTCTCTGATTAGGGTGGAGGGGGACTGTTGCTAATTGATGAAATCAAAATGCCATCTAAAATATCACAAATTTAAAGAATACAGGATGTGTGGCCATGTATGATGACTGGAAAAAGAAGTAGAAACTGTGGCTCCTATCGTGTGCATGTGTGTTTGTGTATGCATATGTACATACACATACAAACCTTACACTGTGCTTTTTAAACTGTAAATCTTAAGACTACCAATTATGTGTGACAGCCTATTATTCTATAAGCCCAAGAGTGAGACTTACACAGTGATCCTGTAAATTTGGATAGTGCAGTAGTTATCCGCAGCCCTCATTCATTATAATGAATATCACTGAAAAATAGATGCAAGTCTAATTTTTGGAATTCAAATCATAGCTGAAATGCACAAGCAGTTTGTTACTCATGCCGCATCCTTACAAAGTATCCCAGTCACTTTCATGTAAATCCAGATTTTCAGTAGCTGCATGGCCTCAAAGTGAGTCATTCTATAGTCTGATACCTGGTGACAGCCGTCTTCTTGAGCTGATTTTTCCACTCTAAGATCTGGAAATCCCTAGGGCTGCTGTTCCCTGGTCATGCACATACGTACGGAGAGTCCTGTAAGGTGCATATTCTATTATGGTGCCTGGGTGGTTCCCACAAGTCACTTAGCACGCTTTCCACATTCAATATTCTGGCTTTAATTGTTTTTCCTCCTCAGTGGGAAAATGTGCTAATCAGCTCTGGCTGACAAGGCTTTCTTTTTCATCTCAAATCATTATAACGATGCATTTACACGGTGTAAGTGCAGTAAGCCAGGCCTCAAATTGAGCATTCAGAAATATATTCTACGGGCACTAGCTTTGTCTTGGATTTATTTGCATCAAAAGTTGGTATTCTCCAACAAGTCCCTAAAAGATGCCATCTCTTGGTTACGAATGGAGGGCATGGCAAATGTGCTTATGGTTCCCAGGCAGGAGATAATTAAATTCCAGACAGACCTGGGGTGTGGGGCTGAGGACACTGATGTGTCTGGAAAACCAGAATGGAGGCATTCAGATGTAGAATTCTTCCACGTCGTTTTCCCCAGGATCAGCCAACACTGGGAGAGGTGGCATGGTTCTGCCAGTCTGTGAGAGTTGGGGAGCATCACAGGGGTGTTCTGGGGGTGACCTTGGAAGTGAGGAAGTGCTTACATCTGGGACAGCAGCACCAGCTGTCACTGAGGAGCTGGAAGAGGCTGTGCTGAAGAAAGGGACAGAGACCCAGGAAACCCCCGTGGTGGCCTTGCTGACAGCATGGGGTAGTCCTTCTCTGGACTTCTCATGCCTTGGCCAGTGGCTGGTGCAGCTTTCAGAGGGGACTGGCATCTCTGCCGTGTTGCAGAACCGACTGGGTGCAGAATACGCGGAGACCACAGACAGGTCCGAAGAGGACAGCCGTAAGCCTGTGTCCACATCTGTTTCCTGGGCCCCCTCTAAGTCGTCAATGGAGAAAGGTTGGCTATGCCTCCGCTCTGATGCCCTGGGCCCTTTGCTGGAAAGCCACTGTGGTTCAGAGGAGGAGGCTGGTGAGGGGCCATCTGTGGGCAAACAGAATAAGGATTTGCTTCTCTGGAAACACCAGGGAGGGCCTTGGGGGCTGTTGGCTGGGTTGGCAAGTTCCTGTTGGTGTTGGGGAGGCAGGTGCATCCAGCTGGGCCCTGGGAGGGGGTTGTCAATTGGGGACTGCAGGATGCTGCCATGACTTTGGGAAGTGGCACTTGGCAAAGGACTGGAACGAGTTGTCTTGTCAGAGTGATGCACTTGGCCAGGTTTGGAAGACTTCCTGTGTGCCCTTGGCACCTGTGGGTAAGAGGACATAGAACGTTAGTGCAGAGCATGGAGTCATGGGACATGGCTGGGAAACTTCTGGCAGTGTCCTGGTGATACAGCATCACCAGCAATATCATCCTCCCAAATCCAGAGCTTGAGGAGCAACTCCTCACCCCAATAGCAGTGACACTTAAAACACACACATGACCAAGTTCAGCAAATCATCCAAAGGGACAAGGGCCTGGCCAAGCACAGCACTGGAGACATGAGTTCCCAGGAAGCAGCATCACTTTGTTTCCTTCCACCCAAGCTGCCAACGTCTTTGGCCATGGACCCTGTTTAGAAATGGTATTGATGGGATTACTTTGGACATACATGGGCGAATTCAGGTCAGGACACAGCCTCCAGGGGTGACCCATAGTTCCAAGCAAGATGAGCCTGTATTGACCTGCCATTGGAAACAGCCACCACTTCTCTCTATTTGCTTTGCAGAAACTAAGTATGGGCAAGGGATTCCTGGCTTATCTTGTGGGCTGCCTGGTGGTCTTGGATGAAGTTCACCCTTGTCTCTCTTGCAATGCACATGCCAGTCCCCTCCCTGCCTCCCCTCCAGCAATCTTTTGCTGCTGCAAGGAATTGGGGGAGGGGCTTTCTACCATGCATGTTTCCCCCAGGTTTCCTAGATTCTCTGTGTACAAGCCTATCACTCAAGCTTATGATGCAAAGTATCCTCAAAATATGCTCTGCATCAGGGACCCTGGGATGACATCGGATGATATTGGATAACCACTCCCCATTCCTAGATACTAATGTAGTTCGGGTGCTGGAAGCAACCCTCTCCTCTTCTTTTCCCATTTTATTCAGATACAGGAGGATAAAAGGAAATTGGAGGCAGTTGTCTCATCCACTTTCCCCCATTCCTTGGTCCTTTCCACCCTAATTGATGGTTCACATGGGTATGCATCCCTCTCAACTATGTAAACATAAAAAATTAAAAAGAGTTCTGACTGGGCTTACAATATTTCCCAGCTTTGAGGCAACATACACTCCCTTGTTAAACAAGAAGCCAATTACCCCACAGGTGTATAGGAAATTCAGGTCAGTCTAATATGCAATTATTGTATACCTACTGTGGGCAAAGGAAGCCAAACTACAATGACAATGTTTGTCTTTGTCCACATCGAGCATATGACTCATTGAAAACAAATACGACATAGATGACCGAGACAAGAGACTATGAAGAGGGACATAAGAAGGGAACTTGAAGTAAAAATCATGATGCCCAGTGGAGTAGAGCGGTCTATGGTGGAGGTGGTCAGACAGAGAAGCCCTGGAGATGAGTACCTGTACTCCCAGTAGAAGACCTGGGGAGAGGCCAATACAGAGGCTGGATGCAGGCAGAAAAGCAAGGGCCCTGCAGGGGGCAGCAGCAGTGTGGTTTGACTGGAGTCCAGGTCCATGGAAAAGCAATGATAGATGGTCAAGTTGAGAACAGAGTCAAGGGCTACTTAGGTCGAGAAGATCCTGGCTACCCGGGTAAGAAGTCCACAGTCATTGTCTTTCTTCTGGGGCCATCCTCTGTTCTTTATTATGTTTTCTTTCTATGATCCTTCTTCGAGCTGATTTCTATTATTTGTCCAATTTCTGAGATCTCCTAATACAACAGACGGTGGAATTGATTCATCCTTTCAACCAACATTAGCTGAGGATCTTTCAGGTGGGTTCTCTCAATAGGTATCTTTAGATTTTAAATGGATTATTTAAAAAGTTTACGATAGGCAGGCATTTCAGGTGAGCACCAGTTCATACTCTGGCTGCTCTACATCTGATCCAGCTCCCTATGAGTGCACTTGAGAAAATAGTAGAAAATGGCCCATGTATTTGGGTTCCTGCTATTTATGTGGGCAATCTGGAAGAAGCTCTTGGCTTCTTGCTTTGGATTGACCCAGCCCTGACTATTATGGTCATCTCAGGAATAAACCAGGGTGTGGAAGAGCTGTCTCAACCTCGTTCTCTGTCTCTCCTTCCTTCTTTCTCTCCTCACCTCCAATTTTGACTTTCAAATAAATCCCCCCTGTCTTTTCCTTTTAAAAAGAAGATGTATAAAGATATTGATCTTTTCTTTTCTTTTTTTTTTTTAAAGATTTATTTTTATTATTTTTTCATTGGAAAGGCAGATATACAGAGAGGAGAGACAGAGAGGAAGATCTTCCGTCCGATGATTCACTCCCCAAGTGAGCGCAACGGGCTGATACTATGCCGATCCGAAGCCAGGAGCCTCTTCTGGGTCTCCCACGCGGGTGCAGGTTCCCAAAGCTTTGGGCTGTCCTCAACTGCTTTCCCAGGCCACAGGCAGGGAGCTGGAAGGGAAGCGGGGCTGCCGGGATAAGAACCAGCGCCCATATGGGATCCCGGGCGTGCAAGGCGAGGACCTTTAACCACTTGCGCCACCGCGCCGGGCCCGATATTGATCTTTTCTAAGGCTGCCTCTTGTAACACAAATTCATCACCATCATCATTTTCTCTGTTGTTTGAGACGAAAAAGGCCCAGACAGCCAGGCATAGTTAATTTTTGAGTTGACAATATGAAGCATTCCTTGCTTAAAATACTTGGCATCAGAAGGATTTTAGATTTTGGATTTTTTCAGATGTTAAAAAATTGTGTGGACTTTACTGGTTGAACACCCTAGTACAAAATCCAAAATGCTTAAAAATTCAAAATGTTTTGAGTGTCATGTTGGTGCTCAAAAGGTTCAGATTTTGGATTAGAGATGCTCAACCCGTATATTAACACTAGCTCCTAAACCTACATGGAACAGGCTGGAGTGCAAAGAAGTGAGTGGCCAACTTTACAGATGATGACAGAGCATGCATCTGCCTTGGGGAGTTATACTTGGACCAAATGTTGGAAGGTGACAAGGTGTCTGCCAGCTGGATGGCATGGACATGTGGCAAAGCTGCAGCCTGAACCAGAGCAAGAAGGGAGCCCAGACAGGCCTCTGCACGTCAAACACTTAGCTGTGAGCTGGTATACAGTGAGAGCTGTGCAGGGAGACCATGTATAAACCCCACTGGAAGCTTTGCTGTCTTAAGATTTAGGAGTCTGCAACTGTTCCTGTTTCTTGTGTCACTGATAGAGGTACCTGGGATTTCCTATGATTGATTTGCTTGGAATTTCCAATCCCCTTTCAATCCTTGGTCTCTCTCTACATTCTTTGTGACTTGCTGATCCTACTCCCTTCCCAGCAGCCTCCGCATAGCATATTGCAATTCCCAAGGTGTTTTCCTGAGAATGGCTTAAGGAACTGCAAGTGAAAAGCAGAAATTAAGGTTTCTCAGGGTGAATTATGGAGTCCTAAAGAATGTGGCACAGATGCTTTTAGTCCAGGCTGCCAAAGTGGGGCTCCTCTTGAACTTATACACCACAATGTCGTTCTCCTCCTGCAAGTCTGATGTGGAGCAGCTCGACAGACTTTGGGGCCTTGGCTGCCCTGCTGATAACAGGTAGGAAGGTTCTCTCTGGAGTAGGAGTTACTCACCAGGGCCTGTTGAGTATCCCCATCCCCAGCCTCCCAACTCAGCCTGGCCATTCTGTGCTGCTCTGGTTAACGGTCTGTATGCTCCCTGAGTTTCACAAGGGAGATCGTGCTCAGAGCAAGCCTTACCCAGGCCTTGAGCTGTAACAGGAGTGCAAGCACCCAGGAATAGCCTCCCCTTGGCAGTAAGATGGGGAGCAGCCACAGGAGGCTCAAGGGTGCCTAAAGAAATCCCTGTTGGGTGGCTGTGGCAGAGACAGGAACTAATTTCTCAAGCACTGGCGTCTGGCTGAATCAGATAGTAACTAAATTCTGAGGCTCTTTAGAGAAACAAGTTCTTGGATGTGGAGTCTGAATGAGGCAGGTGCACCCTGAAATCAAACACCTGCCTCTTTTCTCCTGAAGGCTGATTCCTTGGGGGCATCCTCAAGCTATTTCCTCACTTGACAAGGGTGTGCCTCTTTGCAACATCTGCCTCTGGAGGCTTGACTGAATGCTTGTTCCTGGTGAGGATGCTTGCATGCACCTGCACAAAAAGGGATGCCTCTGTGGGTCTTGCTTTATAAGAAGTCAAAGGCCAGTGTTTCCACCCCAGGACCTGCTGAAAACATCTACATCTTCCCACAGTTAGGGAGCAGGATGGTGTTGAGGTTGGTTTCAACTGCACAACTGGCAAAGGAAGAATCCTTGCTAGTTTTGCAGAGTTTCATGACTGTGCTTGTGTGACCTACCTGGAGTCCCACTGTAGGGTGAAGGTAGGAGTCCAGGTTAACCCTGAGACAGGTGGCACCCAGTCTTTTTTTCAACAGAGGGACTGCACAGAGGGACTGCATGAATTTTCACTGAAATTCATGGCAGGCACTGTGCTGACCATAATGGCAGGGATCAAAGGGTGGGAGCTGCAGGCATGGGGTGACTGTGGAACCCCCATGCCTGCAGCTCCCAAGCTAGGCCCACAGCCATGTGCATGTGGGACCCTCTTGGAGCAGATCTGCCGACATTCTCAGTGGCAGAGGGATTGGCTTCTAAGTACGGGGTCTCATAAGACCTAAAGACAATATGCAAAGAGTGATGCTCCTTTACATGCCCTTGTGCTGCTGGTGGTTCTGTTTCAGTCCTGCTCATCTGCTTGTCTGTGTGGGTACACTGGAGACTCCCCCTCAGCTGACCCTGCTAAAAGGAACAGAAGTCTTGAGCAACGACCCTGCTGAGCTCCTCCAAGTGCCAATGCAGCAACGCTCTTTGCTTCCCCAGTGAGGCAGTGTAGGCCAGTTGCCTCCCTGGAGTTCCCTTCTTTGCTATTTAAGGACCTTCTCCCAAGGAATAGAAGAGTGTTCCATAAACTAATCTATGCAGGGCACCCAGCCAGGGAGATCTGGTTATGCTCCTGCACTCCTCGGGAAACAGGGATTCAGCAAAGCACCCGTAACCTTGAGCACTGGCAGCTGGGAAAGCAAGAGGGCTGGAGTGGCCACTGAGCTGAACTGTCTTTTG